CCCTGGGGGCCCCCCCCCTGGGGGGCCCCCCCCTGGGGGGCCCCCCCCTGGGGGCCCCCAGAGGGGACATTTCAAAGTGCAGCAAAGACCCTCTAGTGCCTTTTAATTTGCTGCTTTCTGCTGCTTATGATGAAGTCCTTGGGGAGGCCCTGGGGGCCCCACAGGGGCCCCCATTTGCCCCAGAGAAGTTCCACCAGGGGGGCCCCCAGGGGCCCCCCGGGGGGCCCCCGGGCCCCGGCAAAACGCCCCTAGGCATAGACCCCTCGTGGCATTTACGCTGCGCCTTTCGCCGCCTGCTGCAGCAGCAGCAGCAGCAGCAGCAGCAGCAGCAGCAGCAGCAGCAGCAGCAGCAGCAGCAGCAAAAGGCAGCAGCAATGGCAGCTGTGCAAAAACGCATTCTTGCTGCCAGGGGGCCCCCCACCCTTGTGGGGGTCCACCACCTCCAGGGCCACGCCTTCAGCACAAGTCTTCCGGGGGCCTCTCTTTACTTGCTGCCAAACAGGCCAAGGGGGGCCCCCCTGGGGGCCCCCCGGGGGGCCCCCCTGGGGGCCCCCAAGGGGGCCCCCTTGGGGGCCCCCAAGGGGGCCCCCGGGAGGCCTTTGGGGGGCCGCGGGGGGCTTCTGGGGGCCCCGGGGGCCCCTAGGGAAGAGGGGGCCCCCACCAGCCAGGGGGCCTCTATGGAGAGCAGTTGTACGGCAGCAGCAGCAGCAGCAGCAGCAGCAGCAGGGGCAACTGCAGCAGCACTTGAAGATTCCGAGGCGGCAGAGGCAGGAACAGCAGCAGCAGCAGCAGCTGCTGCTGCTGCTGCTGCAGCAGCAAAAGTGCTTCCCACGGAGCCGCTGCTGCTGCTGCTGCTGTCTGGAGGCCATTCTCAATTCTCTTTTCTTTTGTCTAAAGAGCTGCTGCCCCTCGGGGGGCCCCTTAGGGCCCCTGCTGCTGCTGAGGGGGCCCCCTCTGGGGGCCCCCTGGCTGGGGGGCCCCCCGGGGGCCCCCCTCCTGGGGGGCCCCCAGGGGGCCCCCGTGCCCCCGGGGGCCCCCGGGGGGCCCCCCCAAGGGTTTGGCTGGAGGCGCAGCAAAGGTCGCAGCAGCACTTTTGCCAGGTGGGGGCCCCCAGGGGCCCCGGGGGCCCCCGGGGCAGCGCTGGGGGGCCCCCTGGGTACTGGGGGGCCCCCTTCGCTGAGGGGGGCCCCCCCGAGGGGCCCCCAGAGGGGCCCCCAGAGGGGCCCCCTGAGGGGCCCCCTGAGGAGACCCCAGAGGGGCCCCCAGAGGGGCCCCCAGAGGGGGGGCCCCCAGAGGGGACCCCAGAGGGGCCCCCAGAGGGGCCCCCAGAGGGGGGGCCCCCCGAGCCGGGGGCCCCCCTTCCTTTCCGCCTGGTGACCCTCGGGGAGACCCAAGATGATGCCCTTGGGGAGGCCCTGGACAAAGCTGCGAGGCAGCTGCGGGCCCTTGCTGCTCAGCAGCAGCAGCAGCAGCAGCAGCAGCAGCAGCAGCAGCAGCAGCAGCAGCAGCAAGTGCAGCAGCAGCAGCAAACGCAACGGCTGCAGCACCAGCACCCGCAGCGCCAGGAGCAGCAACTGCACCAGCAGCAGCAGCAGCAGCAACGCCAGCAGCAACTCCAGCAGCAGCAGCAGCAGCAGCAGCAGCAGCAGCAGCAGCAGCAGCAGCAGCAAAGTGGTGGCGCGTATCTGGAGGCTCTTGCTGCTTCTGCTGCAGCAGACAATTTGCTGCTGCTGCCAAAAGCCCCTCCTTCTCACCAGACTCGAAGTCTGGACTTCAGGTAATTCTTTTTTTTTATTTTTTTAATTTCTTTTTATTTATTTATTTTTTTAATTTCTTTTTATTTCTTTATTTCTTTTATTTCTTTTATTTCTTTTATTTCTTTTATTTCTTTTATTTCTTTTATTTCTTTTATTTCTTTTTTTCTATTTCTTTTATTCCTTTTATTTCTTTTCATTTCTTTTTTTCTGTTTCTTTTATTCCTTCTATTTCTTTTATTTCTTTGAATTTTGTTTTATTTCTTCATTTCTTTTTATTTCTTTTAATTCATTTTGTTTATTTTTGTTTCTTTTTTATTTTCTTTTTTTCTCTTTTTTGATATTCTTTTATTTCTTCTTTTGTTTCATTTTGTCTTTTTTGCTTCTTTTTATTCCTATTTATTTCATTTTTAACTTAATTTTATTTTTGTTTCTTTTTACATCTTTTATCTTTTATTTTTGTTTCATTTTATCTTTTATTTCTTTTTTATTTATTTCTCTTTTTGCTTTTTGCTTCTTTTTGTTTTTTGTTTCTTCTTTTCTCCCCTCCTCAGCTTCATTATCTCTTTTATCTTTTCACTTTTATTTATTTATTTTTATTTTTATTTCTTTTTTATTTCTTTTTTATTTCTTTTTATTTCTTTTTTTTTTATTTTTATTTTCTACTTTTATTTTCTTCCCTCGATCCATCTTTCTGCTGCTGCTGCTGCTCTCTCCCCCGTTGCACCCCACCCCACCCCACCGCAGCAGCAGCAGCAACAGCAGCAGCAGCAGCAGCAGCAGCAGCAGCAGCAGCAGTTTGCTGCGTCTGCGGTTTGCTGCAGCTTCTCAGGCCTAAAGGCCCACCTCAGTCGCCTTTTGAAGTCTCAGGGGGCCCCCGGGGGCCCCCCATCTCTTTCCACTCAGAGGGCCCTTGCCAAATACATTCAAGACTGTAAGTAGCTTCGGCCAGCTAGCTAGCTAGCTGGCTAGCTAGCTAGCTAGCTAGCTGGCTAGTTAGCTAGCTAGCTCTCTAGCTAGCTAGCTATCTAGCTATCTAGGTAGCTGGCTAGCCAGCTGCCTGGCTAGCTGGGGAGCTATCTAGCTCGCCAGCTAGTTGGCTAGCTAGCTGGCTAGCTAGCTAGCTAGCTAGCTAGCTACCTGGCTGGCTAGTTGGCTAGCTCTCTGGCTAGCTAGTTGGCTAGCTCTCTGGCTAGCTAGTTAGCTAGCCAGCTAGCTGGCTGGCGAGCTGGCTAGCTATCTAACTGGCTAGCTAAAAGTCCAGTTAACTAACCAGCTAGCTAACTGACTAGCTAGCTAGCCAACTGACTGGCTAGCTAGCTAGCTAGCTAGCTAGCTAGCTACTTGTGCTGCTGCTGCTCAGGCCTTTTCTACCCCGTGTCCCGCCGCCTTTCGCAAGCCCTTTGGCTGACTGAATTTATACCAGAGATTAAAACCCTCGCCCTAGTGGGCGGTGAGTTGCTGCTGCTGCTGCTGCTGCTGCTGCTGCTGTTTTGCTGCTGCTGCTGCTCTTTCTGCTGCTGCTGCTGCTTCCGTGGCTGCTGCTGCTGATGCTGGCACCGTGTGTGGGCCTGCAGCGCAACTCTGCAACTATTAGCAGCCAGGCAGCGCTCGAATCACCTGCTGCAACTGCAGCAGCTGCTGCTGCTGCTGCAGCAGTTGCTGTTGCTGCTGCAGCAGTTGCTGCTGCTGCCGTTGCTGCTGCACGATTCGTGGTAGTTGCTGGCTGCTTCGCAGACGTTAAACACGCTGCTACACTGACCTTTGCAGAGCCTGCTGCTGCTGCTGCTGCTGCTGCTGCTGCTGTTGCTTCCAGGAGTTGCTCGTAATCGGGAACTGCAGCAGCAAGTGCTGCAGCTGCTGCAGCAGCGCGCGGACAGCCAGCAGCAGCAACAGCAGCAGCAGCGCGAGTTTGCTGCCCTCAAGAAGCGCCTCGCGAAGCTCGTCCAGAGGCGGCCCCTCCTCATCCTTTCAGGCCCACCGCAGCAGCAGCAGCAGCAGCAGCAGCAGCAGCAGCAGCAGCAGCAGCAGCAGCAGAGAGAGGCCCTGCGAGCGCTAATTGACCGTTTTTCTGTCTCCGACTATTTGGCATTTCGCATTCCTGTTTCTTCTTTTGTCTCCTTTTGCTGCAGCACAACTGCTGGGGGGGCCCCCGTTGCTGCTGAGGGGCCCCTCTGCATACCTGCAGCTCTTTTGGCTGCTGCTGCTGCTGCTGCTGTACCCTCACGGGCGCCAGCAGCAGCAGCAGCAACAGCAGCAGCAGCAGCAGCAGCAGCAGGGGATCGCAGGGACCACACGGGCACCACTACGCGTGAATGCAGGCGGTTTGATTTGCTGCTGCCGGGACAGTCGCAGTGGCTACAGCAGCAGCAGCAGCAGCAGCAGCAGCAGCAAGTTGGCAGCAGCAGCAGCAGCAGCCTGGGGACTGCTCCCTTCGGCCAGCCTGGAGCCAATCCTCTCTTCCAGTTTCTCCCAGCGTTCTGGTGCTACTGCGGCTCTTGCAGCAGCAGCAGCAGCAGCAGCAGCAGCAGCAGCAGCAGCAGCAGCAACAGCAGCAGCAGCAGCAGCAGCAGCAGCAGGGGTGTGCAGCGTCTTGTAGTTCCTGCTGCTTCTCTGTGCAACGATAATGCTGCAATGATTGCATGGGCAGCTATTCAATACATGCAGGCCCACAGGGGGGCCCCCAAAGGGGGGCCCCCCCAAGGGGGCCCCCCAAGACAGGGGGCCCCCCAAGACAGGGGGCCCCCAAGGGGGGCCCCCCAAGACAGGGGCCCCCCTACTGGGGGCCCCCAAGGAAGGATAGTACCCTCTGTGAAGCCGAAATGGGACGGAGGGGGCCCCCTGCTGCAGCCGTTGGCAGCAATGGATTTGCTGCTGCTGCATGCGTTGCTGCAGCAGCAAGCGCGTCCCCGGGGACGACCCTTGGGGGGCCCCCAGCAGCAGCGGGGGGCCCCCTTTGCTGCTGCAGAGCAGAACTGGTCTTAAGAGTTTTTTGCTTTTTTATTTTCGAGTGTATGTACACCCCGATTTGCTCCTTTTTGTCGAAGCCAAAACAATCCAAAGATGCATTTATAAATGCAAAATATATTATCTTAAACTTCAAAATAAATAAATAAATAAATAAATAAATAAATAAATAAATAAACAAATAAACAAATAAATAAACTAAATATATACATAAACTTGTAGTTCCTGCTGCTTCTCTGTGCAACGATAATGCTGCAATGATTGCATGGGCAGCTATTCAATACATGCAGGCCCACAGGGGGGCCCCCAAAGGGGGGCCCCCCCAAGGGGGCCCCCCAAGACAGGGGGCCCCCCAAGACAGGGGGCCCCCAAGGGGGGCCCCCCAAGACAGGGGCCCCCCTACTGGGGGCCCCCAAGGAAGGATAGTACCCTCTGTGAAGCCGAAATGGGACGGAGGGGGCCCCCTGCTGCAGCCGTTGGCAGCAATGGATTTGCTGCTGCTGCATGCGTTGCTGCAGCAGCAAGCCGCAGGGGCCCCTGCTGCCTTGGGGGGCCCCCAGCAGCAGCGGGGGGCCCCCTTTGCTGCTGCAGAGCAGAACTGGTCTTAAGAGTTTTTTGCTTTTTTATTTTCGAGTGTATGTACACCCCGATTTGCTCCTTTTTGTCGAAGCCAAAACAATCCAAAGATGCATTTATAAATGCAAAATATATTATCTTAAACTTCAAAATAAATAAATAAATAAATAAATAAATAAATAAATAAATAAACAAATAAACAAATAAATAAACTAAATATATACATAAATAAATAAATATATTAATACATGTGTGTATGTCTTACTGATGGCTGTACTTGCTCCCGTTTACACATTTATAGCATTTATGTGTTTTATTTTATTTTAAATATTTAATTTATTTAATTTATTTAATTTGTTTTATTTATTTAATTCATTTAATTCGTTTTATTTATTTGTCTTTGCAGAATTGGTTTTGCTGCAGAGAAAAGAAGTGCTGCTGCAGCGCGGGGTGTACGTACACCCCAGCAGCGCGCAGTGACCACTGGTCCGTTTGCTGCTGCAGCACGAGGCTTTGCAGCAGCAGAAATGGCAATTAAATTAAAATAAATAAAATAAATTAATTAAATTAATTATTTTCAACTTATAAGTCTTTGCTTCGACCCGGAGCGGCGCAGCCCCCCTGCTGCGAGATTGGGGTGTCTGTACACCGGAAAAAGGACCCTTTTGGGTTTATTTTCTGAAAATAAATCAAAACAAAACTTTTATTCTTTTCAGCAGCCGCAGCAGCTGCTGCTGCTTCTACTTTGCTGCTGCTGCTGCTGCTGCTGCTCGGGTGTACATACACACGATGCAGCCGCCGCAGCAGCACGGCGGGGAGTTCAGGAGGCAGCAGCAGCAGCAGCAGCAGCAGCAGCAGCAGCGCGAAAAAGCAGCTAAAGACATTAAAAGGAATATTTTGGAGTTTTTGAGCTTTGAGATGGGCAGTTGCTGCTGCAGGTGGGCAGTGAGCAGCAGCAGCGCGGGGGCTGCTGCTGCTGCTGCTGCTGCTGCTGCTGCTGCTTCCCAGCCCTCACGCTGCTGGCAGCAGCAGCTGCTGCAGCTCCCGGGGTTGCTGCTGTCTCTTTTCTTTTCTGGCGCTGAAAACTTTCTTGACTTGAGAAGTCCAATTTCAGTTAGCAGCAAAAAGGAGTTGGAAGCAGCAGAAAGCGAGTTTGTGGCTCGGTCTGTGCAGCAGCAGCAGCGCAGCAGCAGCAGCAGCAGCAGCCGCACGCAGCAGCAGCAGCAGCAGCAGCAGAGCCGCCGTTCACGGGGCCTCTGCGCTGCGAGGAGTTTATTTTTCTTTGGATTTGCTGCTGCACCAATCGTCAGGGCCATTTGAAGGGCGTTTGCTGCTGCGTGCACACTTCTGCTGCGGGTGCTGCCGCTGCTGCTGCTGCTGCTGCTGCTGCTGCTGCTGCTGCTGCTGCGTCCAGGTGTACGTACACCATGCCGCTGCTGGAAGTGCACCCCGAAAAGGTGCTCGAAATTCCCTTTGCTTTATTCACAAGTTCAATTGTGCAAATAACTTTAAAAAATGTTTCTTCGCATCCTTTCGTGGCCTACAAAATCAAAACCACAGCCCCCAAAAGCTACCTCGTCAGGCCCTCCACAGGTCAGCAGCAGCAGCAGCAGCAGCAGCAGCAGCAGCAGCGGCAGCGGAGGGCGTGCGGCAGCAGCAGCAGCAGCAGCAGCTGCTGCTGCTGCTGCTGCTGCTGGGGAGGCTGCACGCACTTCCCTGCAGCGGCTGCTTCTGCTGCTGCGTCTGTCTGCAATTAATTAATTAATTTAATTTAATTAATTTAAATAAATAATAATTAATTAATTTAATTAATCAATTATTTAATTAATTAAATTAATTAATTGCAGTTGCAGCAGCAAGCCAAACACTGAGTTTCCCGCTGCAGGAGCTGTGCCTCAGGGGGAGAGCCGGTCAGTGCAGATAGTGCTGCAGGCGCCGACAGAAGAGCCTCCGAAAGCAGCAGCAGATCGCTTTTTAATTCAAGCAACTGCTGCTGCTTCTGGAGAAGCTTTGCCGCGGAATTATTGGCTGGAGCTGCCGAAGCAGCAGCTGGAGGAGACGCGGCTGAGCGTGAGCTTCAAGCGCGCAGCAGCAGCAGCAGCAGACGCAGCAGCAGCAGCAGCAGCAGCAGCAGCAGGGGCTGCTGCGGGGGACGCGGCGGGGCGCGCGGAGGCGCCCGCGGGCGGCGGCGGCGCGCCCAGCAGCAGCAGCAGCAGCAGCGCAGCAGCAGCAGCAGCAGCAGCAGCAGCAGCAGACCTGCGGCAGCAGTACGACCAGCTGGTGGAGTACACTTTGGCAATGGAAAGACACAAAGAAGACTTGACGAAGGAAAACGAATTGCTGCGGCAGCAGCTGGAAAAGAAGAGCAGCAGCAGCAGCAGCAGCAGCAGCTACAAAGACATTTGGTATGTGCCCATCTACCTGTTTGTTGCAGTCATGCTGTGGTACCTCCTGGAGCGCGTTTTTCGCGGATAAAGACCTTTTAACTTCTTTTTTCTTTTATTTTATTCTTTTATTTCTCATTTTGTTCTTTATTTTCCTTTTTTTTCTCATTTTATTCCGCCACTTCTCGCCGAACTTCCGACTGCGCTGTCCAGACACCGCGCGCGGCGCTCGGGTGTATAGGCACCTCCGCAGACACTGCGTTTCTTTTCTTTTCTTTCATTTCTTTTCTATTTCTTTTCTTTCTTTTCTTTCTTTAATTTCTTTTATTTCTTTTCCTTTTCTTTCTTTCTTTATTTCCTTTCTTTTCTCTGGCGAAGAGGAGTGCACAGCTCCACTGTAGATACACCGGAGCGCATTTTAAACACTTTCTGCATGCAAAAAAGCCCCAAAGATTTCCTCCAAACTTCTTTTTGCTGCTGCCATTAACTCAATTATTATTATTCTCAACTTTGCTTTTTTGCTGCTGCCAAAAGGCCTTTTATTAGACTTTCCAAATCCCCAAAATGCTACAAGTCCAGAGAACCCTCCTAGCCCTTTTGCTGCTTAAAATTACCTGCTGCAGCAGCAGCAGCAGCTGCTGCTGCTGCTGCTGCTGCTTGCACCTATAGCCAACATATCAAGGGGGCCCCTCAGGGGCCCCTCAAGTAGCACAAAGAGGGGGCCCCTAGAACTCCCTAGGGGGCCCCCAGGGGGCCCCCAATGTTGCACAAAAGGGGCCCCTTAGGGGCCCCCAGAATTCACAAAGGGGGCCCCTCAGGGGCCCCCTAGAAACGCTTGGGGGGCCCCTCAGGGGACCCTTAGAAACTCCTTGGGGGCCCCCCTTGGGGGCCCCCTGGGGGCCCCCCTGAAGGCCTCTGGGGGGCCCCCGGGGGGCCCCCCTCTGTTGCGAGTTAGAGATTCTGGTTTATGTGGAAAGAACTAATTAAAAGATTTATTTATACTTTTGAACTTGTTGTTTTAATTTGTTTTGAATTATCTTTTTTATTTATTTATTTATTTTAGTTTTGTTTTTAGAGAAAAAGGGAATAATTAGGAGTTATTTGGTTTAATAAATAATGAATTGATTATTAAATTAATTTTTAATTGTTGAATTAATTATTAAATTAATTTTAGAATTGACTAATTAAATTACTTTTTATTATTTTGTCTTCTTGGGAGACTCTCAAGAAGAGTGCTGGGGAAGAGTGCTGCTGCTGCAGCAGGAGCTGCTGCTGCGGCGGTTGCTGCTGCTGCAGCTGAAGCTGCTGCAGCAGCATTTGCTGCTGCAGCAGCTGAAAATGCTGCAGCAGCAATTGCTGCTGCTGCAGCAGTTGCTGCTGCTGCTGCAGCAGCGCAGCAACCCGCGTCTCAGCGAGAGTTCCTGTCAGGCAACAGAGGGGAACAGAAACCGCTGCTGCTGCTGCTGCTGCTGCTGCTTCTGTTGCTGCTGCTGCTTCTGTTGCTGCTGCTGCTGCTTCTGTTGCTGCTTCTGCTGCTGCTGCTGCTGCTGCTTCTGCTGCTGCTGCTGCTGCTGCAAGGTGACAAAAGAAATAAAAGGAGAAACTTGAAACGCCAGCAGCAGCAGCAGCAAGATAAGACACAAGAAGCAATTCAAAAAAATAAAAATGCAAAGAGACTACGAAAATAAAAATAAGAATAAAAGAATTAAAAACAAAAGAAACAAAAAAAGAAATTAAAATTAAAGAAATAGAAATAAAAATAAATTGAAAATAAACAAAAATAAAAGAATTAATAAAAGTAATAAAAATAAAAGAATTAAAAGTTAGAATATAAGCAGCAGATCTACTTAGAATTAATTTTAATTGACTAAAAAACAAAAAAGAAAATTTGAATTTAAAAGTTAAAGATAATTTAAATTTAAAACTAAAAAAATTAAAAGTAAAAATAATAAAGAAAATAATTAAAATTTAAAAACTAAAAAGATAAAATAAAAATAAAGGAAAAGAATATTTAAATAAAAAAGAATTTAAAAAAGAATTGAAAGTAAAACAAAAAAATTAAAAAGAAAAATGAATTTAAAAAGATGATTGGAAGTTTAAGAATTAAAAAGACTTTTAAAAACAAAAAGAATTAAAAGAAATAATTAAAATGAAAAAAATTTAAAAGATTAAGAATAAAATAAAAATGAAATTAAAATAAAATGAAAACTGAAAACAGAAGAAAAAGGCAGAACAACATATAGTTTATTTATTTATTTTTATTTATTTTTCGTTTTTTGTTTTATTTATTTCTCATTTATTGTTCATCATATATCTATTATTTATTTCCCATCATTTATTTACCATTTATTTATTTATTTATTTATTTATTTATTTATTTATTTATTTATTTATTTATTTATTTATTATTTATTTCGTTCCTCTTTTGTTGATTAGTTTCTATTCTTTTATGCCTCTACTTATATTCTATTTGTTTTCTTTACTTATTTTTACTTGTTTATTTATTTATGATTTATTTCTTTTCTTAATTTTTTCCTTTTATTAATTTCTTTTTATTCCTTAAATTCTTTTGCTTTTATTTCCTTTAATTATTTTTTAATTTAATTTTTTTCATTTCTTTTATTTGTTATTTTCTTCTGTTCATTTCTTCCACTTAATTATTCGTTTTTCTTTATTTATAATTAATTAATTAATTAATTAATTGATTAATCAATCAATTAAGTATATTTATTTATTAATTAGTTAATTAATTATATTAATTAATTAATTAGTTATTTGATTAACTAATTGATTAATCAATTAGTTCATTAACTAATTAATTAACTAACGAATTAATTAATTAATAAATATAATTAATTAATTAATTAATTTTGTTTATTTATTTGTCATTTCTTTATTTCTTTAGTATCTCTCTTCACATTCATTTTTTACATATAATTTATTTATATATTTCTCCCTTTTTATTTATTTATTTGTTTCCTTTTGACCACTTAATTGTCTCATTTTAATTCTTTTTAATTTTAATTTTTTTAATTTTGTTTTTAATTATTTTCCAAATTGTTTAATTCTTTCTTTAAAGTGTCCGTGTCTTCTAAAGTTGTTTATTTGTTCCTTTTGATTATTTCTCTTACAATTATTTGTTTATTTAATTCATTTATTTATTTCATTTATTTGTTTTAAATTATTTGTTTATTTAATCCATTTATTATTCCATTTATTTGTTTTAAATTATTTGTTTATTTGATTCATTTATTTCATTTATTTGTTTTACTTATTTATTTCATTACTTTCAATTTGTCTATCCATTTGTTTCTTTTATTCATTTATTTATTATCTTCTTCGCCATTACTTCTTATTAAACAAAAACAAATAATTATCTATTTATTTAATTGTCTTTTTATTTATTTAATTCTTTCTCCTAAGAAGACAAACAAATAAAAAAGACAAAAAACAAAAAAAGAAAAAGAGATAAAAGAACTAAAAGACAAAATCTGAAAAAAGGAATTTAATTATTTCTTTTTTTGTTTTTTGTTTTTTGAAGAAAGTTAAATCAACTTTTCTTTTTTATTTTAAAAGTTTTTCTCCAAGTGGCTGCAGCCGGAGAAAAACTCCAAAAAGTGAATTCCGAAGCAACCCTAACACTGGCAGCAGCAGCAGCAGCAGCAGCTGCTGCTGCTGCTGTTGTTGCAGCAGTAGCTGCAGCAGTAGCTGCAGCAGTAGCTGCAGCAGGAGCCGCAGCAGTAGCTGCAGCAGTAGTTGTTGCAGAGGCAGCAGCCGCAGCAGCAGCTGCAGTTGCGGTAGCAACTGCAGCAGCAGCAGCAGCAACCGCAGTTGCCGCGGTAGCTGCAGCAGCAGCAGCAGCTGCAGCAGCAGCAACCGCAGTTGCCGCGGTAGCTGCAGCAGCAGCAGCTGCTGCAGCAGCAGCAACCGCAGTTGCCGCGGTAGCTGCAGCAGCAACTGCAGCAGCTGCAGCAGCAACTGCAGCAGCTGCAGCAGCAACTGCAGCAGCTGCAGCAGCAACTGCAGCAGCTGCAGCAGCAACTGCAGCAGCTGCTGCTGCTGGTAGGGCTATAGCTAATAAGCCTGCAGCAAAACCTAAATTGAGTCCCAGCGGAAACGGGAGCCCCTTCCATTTTAATCTTTAGAATGAAGTGGTGAGCTGCTGCTGCTGCTGCTGCTGTTGCAGCTGCTGCAGCAGCGTCTCTCCCGCTTCAGTTGCTAATGCAGCAGCAGCAGAAGAGCTGCTGCCGCTGCAGCAGCAGCAGAAGAGCTGCAGCAGCAGCAGCAGCAGCAGCACGGGCCGTCCACGAAAGCGGTGTCGCCCTGAGCTGTTCCCTGCCCAGCCAGCAGCAGCCGCCGCAGCACCGCAGCAGCAGCAGCAACCGCTGCTGCTGCTGCTGCTGCTGCTGCTGCTGCTGCTGCTGCTGCTTCAAGTTCGGACTTGGCCTATAACAACTGGCTGGGAGCGCGCAGCGCGGGCCATTTCAGTTTCGGGTACCTCGGGGGGCCCCGCGAGGGGGGCCCCCACGGCGACGAGGGGGGCCCCCACTGCAACAGCAGCAGCAGCAGCAGCAGCAGCAGCAGCAGCGTTGGCCCCCGGCCTTGCTGCTTCGTACTGATGCACCAACTCCTCCACGCGCTTCGGAGGAGGTTTTAAACAAGCTTGCAAAATAAACCAAAGAAGAGTAACTAGCAGCCAAGTCGAAGACAAAAAGAAGTAAGCAGGCTCTTCAGTCCTGTCCACCTGCAGCAGCAGCAGCAGCAGCAGCAGCAGCAGCAGCGGCGGCGGAAGGTGAGGCTGCGGCAGCAACAGCAGCCGGCCCGCAGCCACACGGCCAGCAGCAGCAGCAGCAAAACAGCTACACAACCACAACCAGCAGCAGCAGCAGCAGCAGCAGCAGCAGCAGCAGCAGCAGCAGCAGCAGCAGCAGCAGACTTGGAAAACGAAAACAGTGGCCATGAGTAGCGCCAAGTAGACCAGGCAGCCAAGCGCAGAAGCTATTGAGTAAAAACCCCCCAAGGCCTTCGCCGTTTCCCGCGGGAGGCCAAACAGCCGCACCCGCTCCCGGTGGTACATCAGCACCAGACACGCGCACTGCAGCAGCAGCAGCAGCAGCAGCAGCAGCAGCAGCAGAGGATGAGCAGCAGCAGCAGCAGCAGATCAGCAGCAGCAGAGGATCAGCAGCAGCAGCAACAGATGAGCAGCAGCAGCAGCAGCAGCAGGGTTATTTGTGGGATTGGTTCTGCTGCAGCGAAAGTCTTAAAGGCAAAATGCGCTTTCTGCTGCTGCAGCAAATGGGGGGAGCTAAGTAAAGACCAGTGAATGAGATTAACAGCAGCAAATAAACAATAAATAGGAAATAAATAAGAAACAAACAATATATAATAATAAATAATAAATAATAAATAATAAAAAAACAGATAATAATAAACAGACGGGAGAAAGTTACGTGAGAGGAGCAGCAGCGAGGTGTACAGACAGCTGGAGCAGCAGCAGCTCTCCGAAGAAGAGAAATGCGTCAAAAGAAGCCCAATGAAGCAAATAAAAGAAAAAATGAAAAATAAATAAATAAATAAATAAATAAATAAATAAATAAATAAATAAATAATTGCATTTAAAGAATTAAAAAAGACAAAAAGAGCTTCCAACGCACCATAAAGGAAGGCATGCTCGACTGGAGAGCCCCCAGCATCGGCAAGAGGTGCGCGGGCCTGCAAAAAGAAGAAACGAAGAAAAAACAAACAAAAATAAATAAATAAATGATAAATAAATGAATAAATATTAAAAGATAATAAATAAAATAATAAATAAACATTTAAATGGCGAATTGCGCAGCCGGCGATGCATTTGCGGCTTTCGGACGAGGTGGACATACACCCCAAGGCGGCGAGGTCGCATGCAAATGTTTTCACAAATTGGAAATAAAATATAAATATAAATGCAAATATAAATGCAAATATAAAAACAAATATAAATTAAATTCAATTCAATTGTTTTTAAATTCAACTTCAAACACAAAAGCGACAATTCAGGAACTGGTCTGCTTCCAAACTCGCAGAAACTCAGGTGTATGTACACCTCGACACTTCTCACACTATAAATAATATACTTAATAGTAGAAGAGTATAACCAAATAAATAAATATATATAACAACATATAAAATAAATATAAACGTATATATATATATATATTTAATATATATAATAGTATAAGAGTATAACCAAATAAATAAATATATATAACATTTAATATGTATAATAAATATGAATATATATATATATTTAATACATATAACACTAGAAGAGTATAAGCAAATAAATAAATATATATCCATTAATATAGATAATAAATATAAATATATATATATTTAATATATATAATAGTAGAACAGCATAACCAAATAAATTTATATATATAACAATCAATATATATAATCAACATAAATATATATATATTTGAATAAGTATGTTTTATCATTTATAACACTATAAAGAATATATACAATAAAAGTATAACAAATAAATATATATATAATATCTATTAAATATATATAATACATATATACATATTTGGATTAATACATTTTAATCATATTTATAAATATATATAAATATAAATATATTTTATTTATTTGTATATACAGATATATTTTATTTATTTGTATAAATAAATATATTTTATTTATCTATATAAATAAATATATTTTATTTATTTGTATAAATAAATATATTTTATTTATTTGTACATATAAATATATTCTATTTATTTGTATAAATATATTTTTAAATGCATTTATAAATATAAAGTGAAAGTCAGAAAATATATTTTTTAAACTTCATTCAAAAACATTAATTTTCAAAAATGTTTAAATTGGAATTCCAAATTTAATCAAATCATATCATCGCAAACAATAAAATCATATTTTTAAATAAATTAAATTAAATTAAATTAAATTAATTTAATTTAAATTAAATTAATTTAAATTATATTTAAATTACTTTAAATTTAATTAATCTAAATTAAATTAATTTAAATTAAATATTCGAGCTGCACTTTCAAAACAACCAAATTGAATTAATTCAAACTGTCAAATCAAAACAATTAAATTAAATTTATTAAACACTTTTAATTTTAATTTTAATTTTAATTTTA